ACACACGTATACATACACCACCGTTGTTCCGAGCAGTGCTATGTAAGAGTGTACCATAACTGGGCTGTAACTCTGACCCCATTCATTCACACCTGTCATTAACCTGCAGCATCTACCCAGACTGTGTCCTTATCTTATGTGGCCGGATTACATTTACAAGTGATTAAAATCTTAAAATGCATCTCTGAGATACAGAGCACTGAAATTCAGTTACGCTCTCGCTCGCTAAACGCAGGTCAGAATGCAACGTTGCTGTCTAGAAGACTTTCAAGATTTTAATATGAGCTTTATGCAGTAGATATAAAGTTTATTTATGAGTTTTTGCACCATACTGCACTAAATTACAGCTCTCAGATGTTGATGCAATGTTTCCTTCCTCTTTATTTCTGCTGATATAAATTTATATTGTTAATTTGATTTCCTGACTGCTTTCTGTGTTGATTTATTTTCTGTTTTTATGATACGTTGTGTGTGTGTGTGTGTTCTACAGATTGACTTGATTTTTGAATAACAAACACAGCTGTACTCTTTTTGATCTGGTGTCTATTTTCGGTGATGGAAATCTTAAACATGGTACACTATATAGACACCTGAACATTAATATGCGATTTCTGAACATCTCATTCCAAAAGCCTGGGCGATAACGTGCTGCTATAACAACTGGGATGGATTTCTACAATACCTAGGAGCTCGGCTGCTCCCTGAAATTTGCTCCCATTAAACCACAGGAGCACTGTTGAGGTCAAGCACTGATGTTGACCGATAAGACCTTACTCGCAGCAGGTGTTCAAGTTCATCCCAAATGAGTTGGGTGAGGTTGAGGTCAGGGCTCTGCGCCAGCCAGTCAAGTCAGTCATTTATTTCTTTGACATTTTTAATCTTTTTACAGATAGATTTTTGACAGTAGAGGTCGTCGGGTACATGGGGAGAGGGGGTTCTCCAGGATAATTAAACCAGGGATGTAGTGGTTGCTGTATATCTTAGCCAATCAGCCAACAGGACACCGCAGAAAACCATTTTTGTATGAAACATGCTTTGTATCCGAGGGCATCATCGCTGTCAAACAGGAATGTGCTTCCCTGAACAGTTGCCACAACGGTGGAAGCACACTGTTGATGTCAGAAATATCATGGTAGATTTCACTTAACAGGAACGAAGGTGCCTCGCTCAAATGAGGAGGAACAACAGCCCCGATCCAAGTAGTATACAGAAGTATGTGGACAGTAGTGTCCGCCGTATAGTGTGCTTGCATTGGAAGTAATTGTTGATACTCACATGCATAACAATCTTGCCTTGCCTATTCCCCAACCATCAGTATCTTCAGATTCAGAATCAATTTTGTACTAAAGCTGGAATTATGCTGCTCCAGGCTGCATGTAGGCGAACATGGATGGGGTTGCATGGAGACGTTTACATGGCTGTTTGTTTAATACTCTTGTGTACAATTTCATCACTGTGTGACCTTCATTTTATTTGTCTCTTTTTTTTTTTAAACCTGCCTCCGGACAGAAGGTGAATCAATCAATCAGCTTGCTTGGCACGCAGGTCCACATATGTGTTGTTGAGATCTAAAAGTTCTGCGCGTTGGCGCCTCTACGAGCTCCTCTGATCTGTGGTCACCCATAATACTTTTCTCTGCGTAGGTTTGCATAGATGTGCATCTACAGAGAAGCCTAACAATACCAGTTTAATATGTTACTGTAGAAGCTGGCTGCTTACAGTTTGTATTTACATGCACGAGTTCATTATCTGTATGTCAAAATATGTCTCATTCCACCTCCACAGCTGTTTTTTTATGATCATATCCTCATTCATCCTTAGTGCATTTCTACCAGGATTTCTTTTGTGCAGAAAATCTGATTAGCCTCACCATTAAGGGTGCTAATATTAGGTGTAAAGACGGTCTCTGAGCCACCTGTTGCTGGCCCTGATCGTGGGTGTGCTGCAGGATGGCTGAAATGCAAGTCAGGTCACATCTCTGTAAATATATGTCAGTCTGACCACCTGGATTAGATTTCAAATGTTTGTATTTTTATCGTTCCTCCGGTGACAAGATGTCACAACAAGTTTCACACCGTCTCCCTCTACTACATGCTGTCATAAAACAGAGTAAACAACTTCCTATTACTGGCTTGGTGCAGCTACCAGAGTTGTTGGACAGAAAATTGTATCCCTTTGTCACTTTTTGCATGGTTGCATGTTTACTGTGACAACCACAGTCAGCAGATGATTATTTTCTCTCAAGTCTTATCTGTTCTGTTTTGAATTTCAGCATGGATGTATGACATTAAAAAGTGAAATGCTTGCATGCAACTTATTGCAGTTATAGCCTCCTTACTTTTAATGTTCTGTGGTTATAAACTGTGTGTTTGTGTGTGTGTGTGTCTGTTTACGCAGGGAGAATGAGGTCCTGAAGGTCCAGTTGAAGAAGTATGTGGGGGCGGTGCAGATGCTGAAGAGAGAGGGGAGTCAGGGCAATGATGGTAAACATTACGCTCACACACACACACACACA